CAAAGAATCTTTTAGAGTTAGTAAGTTTACTTGGCCATTCAAGCTCTCTCTCTCTCTGTGTTGAATTAGAATTAGAACAATCAGATCCATTTTCAAAGAAGTTCCCCTGGTTTGCAGTTTGTAGAAGTCAGGTGATAATATGTTTATTTGCCCAGCCTTTTTGTTAGCATTCTGTCAATTGCCCTCGCTAAAACCTGGGAAAAGGAGGTACAAGTCATTTCAGATTTCTGCTATGTATACCTTTGTTTTCTGTCTTATGTTTTGCTTCTGCTTTTTTAAATTATTGTGCGCTTTAAAAAAATTAATTCTCATTTTTATCATTTCTTTTAAAAATCGTAAGCCACTTCAGACATACCATATTGAGAAGTGGTTGATAAGTAAATAAATAAGTAAGTAATAGCCATACATATTTAACAAACTGAGCCTGGTTTATGATTTTGACAGTTCACAAATATGTTCTCAGTTAACAGGCACTGTTGTATGTTCTTCTGTTCAAGACTTCCTAGTATACTACACACTAGTTTTGTTAAATGCATTTTAAAATGCAATTAGTATAGGCTATTAGTATAGGCTATTAGGATATGAAACTGGAATACAAGTACTGAACAAGTTTTTCCAGACAAATAAGCAGGCACACAAACAATCCTGTTTCACTTGCAAGATGCCAGTCTTCAGCACTAGGTCAGCATTTCTCTTGTGCTGTTGCATAGATGTTGGCCAGCTCAGGTCAACAAGCAAGGGGCACCTCTTCTGCAATTTCATTGCTTAGTGGCAATTTTGGCATATTTAGAAAAAGATTGTTGTCCAACTCAAATAAAGCTAAAGCAACCTGATCAGACATAGCTTGGTCCAATTTTTTGTAAACCCTCCAAAAATCCCGTATTGGCCAGACCTCCTGGCTGTTGATCTAGAGATGTACCCAATGAAAAATTGTGGATCAACAGGCTGTGGAAAAGTACACATCTGGATCTCAGCTCAGCAGCTGGCCCTCCATCTTTAACTGATGGGTTAACCCGAGACTTGCCAATAGTAATCTTCCACTCAAGATCCAAAGCAGAGATTTTTCTGAATGCTGAAACTGAAACCAGTTTCAGCATCATCAAAGCCACTATAAAATTATGTGGTAAATGAATGAAAATATTATAAGTACTTCCTTGGACAGAAGCTATCCAACATCTGAGCAAATAAAGATGAAATTAAATTAAAGAGAGGCTGAACAGTCAGGAAATGCAGAGGATCTAGAGTATGTGGCAAATGAATATGAAAAAGGTAGGAGATACCAAATGCATCCTCGTGTGGGAGACTGAAGAGAAGCTAAAGTAAGAAAGGGGAGTAAAAACGTCCTGTACAGCCTTAAAGCAGATAGCAAAGAAGAGAAAAAAAACAAAATTCTGCTTCTGCTAAAGCTATATATTTTTCTTGTATTTTGAGCAAGTTACTAAAACGTTGGATGTGTGCAAGTCCAGTTCAGTGAGCCATGATTTTTAACAAGGCTGGATATATAGCTTTACCAGAAGTAGAGAAGGACTACTGGTATGTCCATTTAAATACTAATACCTAGACCCCTTTTCCAGTCTATACATTGGTTTTATTGCTCTTCTAGAGTTCAATTTTGGAACTGAGCTGAAGGCATTTCCTCATCCATGCCAAGCTTGCCTTTAGAGAGCCAAAGTATACAGTTTTGGACTCTGACCAGAGAGATGCAGGTTCTTATCCCGAGTCAGCCGTGGAAGTCACTGGGTGGCAGCTGACAAGCTGCTGTCTCTCAGCCAGGCTTCCTTGACAGGGTTGTTGTGAGGATAAAATGTGATAAGACCCCGGAAATGCTTGGAAAGGCAGGAAGTGAACGGTACAATTGATATTTATTACAATTGTTTTTGTGTTGCGTCTCAAAAAGTTGCGTCTCAAAAAGTATTCCCAAGTCAGCTCACAGTAATGTAGATGCCATTAAAATCAGTTAACAATATCAACAACAGTAAAATCATAATAATCAGAATCGTTTAAGCAGTTGGAGGACAAGAAAACAATATTCCTCACAATAGCCTCCCACCAAAAGACTGGCAAATAAGACCTTCTTCACCTGGCACCTAACGCTGTAAAATGTAGGCTTCAGGAAAACAGGTGGTATGAGAGAGTTCTGTAAACTGGGCACTGTGATGGCTCTGTGCCTTCACATTATTCCTAAGGTGGGAAATGTACAGAGAAGGACCTCCACAGTAGATCTTAATGCCCATTCATATTTGTATGGGAGTCAGTGATTATTCAGGGGGTTTGGTCCTGGGCCATTAGAGCTTTAATGGTAACTACCAGTACTTCGTATTGTACCCAGATACAAACTGGAAGGTGGTGAAGTTCTTCCAGAATTGGTGAGAAGTGTTCCAGATAAATGCTAATATGCTCTGATGGTGTGATTTTTTTAGTTCCCATCAATGACTACTTTTCTTAGTGTATGTTTCTGACTCAAGAAATCAAGTGTTCTGAACCTTGGACCAAAACAGCTTATCCACTTTTTTGTTTCCTTTGTTAAAGATTGTTATTAAGCTGTCTGCGCCAACTGAAACCAGTGGCTGGCCAACTGATTATGAAGACATGGAATCGGGGGATAATGGATTCCCAGGTGACACTGACGAAACAGACACCACTTTTTCCAGCCGGCCCGAAATTGTTGTGGTATGTAACCCTCCATTGTCTGGCTACATAAAGAAAATTAACATGTGAAATCTTGGGTCCCTGATGCCTACCCAAGATGTGTCATCATTAGACCCTTAGGGTATATTTTTGTTCTTTCCTCTGCCGTCTCTGTAGTACCAGATGTTTTCTGCCCAACCCCTTGTATTGTAAGTGCTGTTAAACAATGTTGGCATCCCTGTAATTTTTTCGGTTAACTGTTCTGTGTTCCTGGTTTAAAAACATCAAACTACACCATCAGCCAGTATTGTCTTGTTTCTTGAATCAGCCCCCATACCCCTTTTGATCTGGTGGTTGAAGCCAATGAACTTTTTTTAGACTGTATGTGGAGGCAGAGCATGATTTCCCTCCATAGCAGTGCTATTTAGTTTTCCTACTTACTCACATCCATTTGACTTGTTTTTCTTGTTCCAGTTCAATTGCACAATCCGTCAACCAAAAGCTCCTAATCCTCCCATGCACTGGCCACCTGAAGCACGTATGAGCAATGTGTCCTTCAGCATGGAACTTTACAAAACAGATCTCTTCCATATCCCAACTCAAGGGATTTTCTCTGTGGCAGAGAATGGCCAGATTTTTGTTGAGGTAAGGAACCATGCAATAAATTGAAACTGACTGAAATATTCTCCAGGAACGTAGAAGTTCAATTTAAGTCTGTTCTCACTTCCTTTTAATTGGCACTCCATTAACACCACAGGGAGACAGATGTGTTCTCTCACAGTTTCTGAAAAAGGAACTTGCAAGCCTCCAAATTCATTTGGGCTGCTGGAGAAAAGGTGCATTTATATTTGGAATAAGTGGTATCTATTTTTTCTATTTTTATTTAAACAGCACAAAGTAACTGTGTATCCTGTACTCCTGCAAAAATTCATGTATATGTTTAGTCCAGCCTCTGTTTTTCAATGCTTTCAGTGAACATCAGGCACGATATCCTTCCTATTTTTTCATTGTTCATATATCTAATTTACATAGGTGGCCCCACTAGGCAAATGAAAAAATCTGCACAATGGGGCTGCCCCGCTCCAGATAGGGCTATCTCACCCCCCACACAAGGACATACTTTGCAGTGTCTGCACATGGGTAGATGGTACAAAAAAGTCCACACAACCCCCCCCCCCCACATAAGGTAGCAGTTTCGTGAACAGAGGGAAAGTGTGCTGCCAGGATTGCTGGGGAGGGGGCTGTACGCAATGGGAGGGTTGGAGAAGGGGAGAAAAGCTCACAACTGGTGAAATAAAGATTCAGAGGGAGAGCTGGGGAGGGGGCAAAACAAGAGGGAGGAAATGGGGGTCCCCTCCCCTGCAAGTCTTTGCAGGTCCCCCCTCTATTTTGTTTTGTTGTTCTATATTTGTTAGTAGTGAAAAATGGGTACTCACAGCATGTCCACCATATGCATGTTGCTTTTTGCAAGTCACTAACAAAGGCATGCTAAATTAAACATCCTAGCTTTCCTAGTCCCCAAAATAAGATCCTCTAGAAGATGAAATCTTTAAATGTAAACCCCCCCCCCCCATTAATGGTAGTCAGTGAGACCATTGGTAGGGAAATATTCACAAGAGGATTTCCCTTTTTAATTACCATACACCTTTTGTATATGCTTTAATTGCTTGTTAGTTTTCCATCAACAATCTGATAGTAGTGGTGTTTTTCTCCATTGCAAGGAGCCTTTGCCTTGTGTAAGAGGCTCTTCTGCCTGCAGAAGAGTTTGTGTGTGTGTGTGTGTGTGTGTGTGTGTGAGAGAGAGAGAGAGAGAGAGAGAGAGAGAGAGAGAGAGAGAGAGAGAGAGAGAGAGAGTGAGAATGTGAATGTGTGTCTGGAAAATGCTACTTGCACTGGAGGAAAGCACCACTGCTAGCAGAACATATCTGTGGGATCCAATATTATGCATTTATTTTTTTACTGTGGATCTAATCCACAAGTCAGCTGCACTATGTGATGCTACACTGTATATCTCAGCTGTGCTAAACTTGAGCTACACTTGGGGATGGGCAGCTGTATGGGCCAGTTGTTGTGCCACAACTTCCAACACTGCTGGAAAAGGAGCTGAAAGCTTGTGGTGCCTTATTCCTTCACCTGTTGCCACTGTTCCAGTCGCTTTTGGCACCCGCACCAATGATTTGCTGCCCGGCAACTGGGCAATAGTTGTTGTTGCATTTTTTATCTTGCTCTTTGGGCAAAGATTGCCTCCAAAGTGGGTAACAACACAATTACAAAATGCAGCTCAAAGCCAATTGTTGTCAGCAATATTGGGTCCAAGCATGATGCAAGAAAGGGGAAATAGTGCCTGGCCACTGCTGTCCCTTGCCGTGATGGCCTCAGCAGTATCTGTTGAGAGCTGGAGGCAAGTGTCCTCACCTTGCTTTGGGTCCAGGTGTGATGGAGATACATCTAGCTGCTGTTTCACCTCCCTCTGATGGCCTCAGCAGTAGGAGTTGGAAGCTAAAGGGGGAGGGGTCATCAGCTGGAGACAAGTCAGGCATAATGGAGGGGATCCTAGTGGCTGCCTTCCCTTCAGGTTTTGTTTGAGCTTCATTGGGGCTCGGCTCCTGTATTGGTACAAATAAGAACATGCCAGTTCAGTAACTAATTTTTGTGCATTGTACCCTATATTAAGAAGCTAAACCATGGGTTGTCTGGTGTTAAAGAAAACTCCGCTCATTTTGCATTCATAAAAGACTGTCATGGCTTTCAGCCTTCTGGGGTATATCCCAGGGTCTCTAGATCTCCATCTGGCTCCGCAGTTAGTTCTTTGGACAGATATTCTCATTTTTTCACCTGTCCTGGCAGAAGCTTAGTTTTCTCCTTTCTACACAGTGGAAAATTTCTGTTTGTGCCTGACATCTGTTCCCCATCCTCCCCGGACAAAAATTATTGAACTATTTTTGGTTTTGAGATGGTCATCTCTCTGGTATATTCAGGAATCCTGAAAAAAATCCGGCTTTATTATACTTGAATAAAAAATAATGATTTCCCCCCCTGCACTCCCCTACTTATATTATTTGACAAACCTGATGAATTTATATTTTCCCCCACCCCCTTTTCCCTTCTGTATCCCATCTTTTTTCTGAGAATGTAAAATGTTGAGCCCCTGTTTTGGCATCATTACTTACACAAATTGATCAATCAGGGGAAATTCTCAAGGACTGGGGGATAGCCATTATTATTCCATTGTATAAAAAAGATAATAAAGAGGACCCCAGCAACTACAGATCGATCAGTCTGCTAAACATAGTGAGCAAACTCTATGCAAGACATCTCTTGTGGAAATTTAGAGACTGGTTGGAAAACGATTTCTGTCTGGCAGAGGAACAGGCTGGCTTTAGAGAAGGTCGTGCCACAATAGATCATCACATGCTTCTGGACCACTTGGTTGCCAAGTATTCTTCTAATTCAAGTGTGTCACTCTATACGGCTTTCCTGACTGTCTCCAGAGCCATCCTATGGGATAAATTAAGATCTACAAATATAGATAGGCGACTATTCTTTCTTATTCCGGCCCTATATAATCAGACATCTATTTGGGTCAAATATTCCCATGAAGGTCACTTGACAGATTCCATCAGTACAGACAAAGGGGTCAAATAAGGTTGTCTTTTGGCTCCCCTCCTATTTAACTTTTACACCAACAATCTGGTGGCTTACATAAACAAGCCGGAGTGTCATCCGCCACAGTTAGGTAAAAAGCATGTTGGCGCTCTTCTTTACGCTGACGATGCTGTCCTTTTGTCAAGGACTCCTATAGGTCTCAGAAGAGCCTTAAAAGCCTTCACCCAATTCTGCCAGGATAACAGCTTAGAGGTAAATCATGCCAAAACCAAAGTAATGGCCTTTGCTAAAAGGACTCCCAGATTACATCATTGGTTTTTAAATTCTAACCCCCATAGAGCAAGTCCCATGTTTTAAGTATCTGGGGGGGTTGTTTCAGGCAAATGGTTCAAGAGCTAATGCAATAGTGATGCGATTTCCTCAAATGCTAAAAGAAGTGCGGGGGCAATTCAAAACTTTTACTGCATAAGGGAGGTAAATGTATAATAGCAATAACAACACCATTTTCTTTCTGACAGGTTTCTGTGACCAAGGCTGACAGATCTCTGGGCTTTGCAATTCAGACTTGCTTTATCTCTCCATCTTCATACCCGGATAAGATGTCAGAATATATAATTATAGAAAACATCTGTCCTAAAGATGAATCTGTAAAATTCTACAACATCCCCAGGGCTAATTTCCCTATACCACATGCCCTAACTGACAAAAAGCGGTTTAGCTTCATGTTCCGATCCGTATTCAACACCTCCCTTCTCTTTCTGCACTGTGAAGTAACCTTATGTACAAAGAAAGAAAGAGATACTCAAGGATTGGCCAAGGTTAGTACTTGATGAGTTTACTCTCAACTTTATTTCCCTAATGGCCTGGTCTTGTAGTCTGCCTCAATCAGACAACAGTGCAGCAACTCCTGCTGTGCCAAGGCATTGCATAGTGGCACACTGATTTAATGTGTTGTGCTGGTACAGGAGTGTGTGCTAGCTGCCTTATGACAACAGCAGTCACCATCCTAGATGTAGCATTGCAGTAAGATACGGTTATCCAGATTTTCACTGAATGTCCAGTGGCATGTCCAGAAACGTGCCACTGTGACAGTCACCACTGAAAGGGGAGTGCAGAGCGGCAAGGCAAGGCAAGGATGACTGCATGTGTGCAGGCCACTTCACATTTCAACGGGCGTTTTTAACAACAGGTAAATAGAAGCTTCTGTTGGAGTGATAGACAAGAAAATGTCACATTCATACATCGGCAGAGAGACAACTGGAGGATAAAAGATGGCAGGTTTTAAGCCTTCAAAATGATAGAGCTAGTCTAGATAGGGTGATGAAGCTCCTGGCCACCTGGGAGAGGACCTTCTTGATCATGGCATCAAAACTCTGGCACTCACTCTCCAGAGAGAGTTGTCTGTCCCTTTTGGTTGCCATCTTCCACCAGCGGGTGAAGACTTTTTCCCCCCCATTTGGCATTTCCTCAGTGGTATCTCCTTCCTAACTGATTTTTTATTGTTTTTTATGTTTTGTATGCATTTTAACTCTGGTTTTGATTGTTTTAGTGATGTGTGTTTGCGGGAGAGTTATTTTAATGTTTTTAAAATGTGATTTAATGGTTTTAAAATGTGATTTTGTCATGTGTGTTTTAAATTGTTAGCCACCTTGGTGGCTCTTGTGAGGGCAGAAGGGCTGGATATAAATTTTGTAAAGAAATGAAAATAAACAATAGAAAATAAAACAATAGGCTGGCATTCTCCACAGTTCCATGGAGCTCATTTGGTCATTAGTTGGCCAACAATTCTGAGCTCGTAATTTTTTAAAAGAAAGTCTGTTTCAATGTAGAGATACAACAGAAACTGTGCAAGTAGTGTTCTGTTCATTTATTTAGCAAGATACAAGTCTATTGCCTCCTCCACTGCGTCAGCCAGCAAGGGAATTCACAGCCCTGGTTGACATGGCTGTTACAGCTCTCCTCAACAAGCTTTGCTGTTGACTTAGAAGAAAGCACGAACAGCTTGTAGCGGGGGTCAAGAAGGATCAGGCATAAAGATCTTCCTTTTCTACATTTTAGTAGTAATTTCCAGGAACAGACACAAAACAAATGATAGACAATGCAACAATTAATGTGCTTAATTTGCATAATATTTATAGAGTGGAGATTCTGATATAAATAATGTGGTCCCCTTACCCATCTACAGAAAGTTAATCTGCATAAACCTGTGTGTGCGCGCGTGCTTTTTACTAAGGTATTACATAATCCTTGCAATTAAGAACAGTGAATATTTATTGAATCTTCCCAGGGAGTGCTTTCATAGCTCTTGACAACCTGATACACGTTTTCCACTAAGTGGTTACAGGTGATAAATAGAAATTGCTTTTCACTGTGGGAGTGGTCCACATTTATCTATGCTGTTCAGTGCTTCTAGCTGTAAATAATGTTTTAACAATAATTCTCCAGGTCCTGTTGATATATAATATTACTTTTGTTTTTAAACCTCCATGTGTGAATTATTAGGCTGACCTGCCTTAGGAGGATTTTAAAGGGAAATAAATGAGCATTCAGACTTAGTTTTCTGTATTCTTTTTCTTCCTTATCTTACGTTTGCATAGAATATAACTTTATGGAACCATTCAACATGTCTAGGTAGGAAAAAATATTCTTTTTTGAGGAAGAAAATTATTCACTCATTGAAAGTGGATGAACTTACTTTTCCACAGACAGTAATAGTGGGTCATCTGTGCTGGAACATTCCAAAGTATGGTGAATCTAAAACGTACATACACCAGTACAGAGAAGCCATTACTGCTAACCATCCCAAGTCCCTATTCAGTCTAAGAGCTTAACTACACATTAAACCCTGTCCTCACATCCTCCTTGAGTGCATCACAAGGGCTTTTGACTGGATGTGTCTTGTGGGTTCTGTGCTGGGAACTCAGTTCCCAAGTGCACAGTTCAGATTGGGACTGTGGCATGAGGAAATAAGGCATTTAAGCCTAACCCTTGTACCATTTTCTTGACTTAAAACTCAGGGAACCTAGGGAATTCAGGAATACTACATGTAGCCATCAATACCTGCAGGTTTCCCCAGCAGGACAAAAACCAGCTCCCCAGGACCATTTCAGGTCAGGGACCCGGATGACCCAGGGTAGCTCAATCTTGGAAGCTAAGCAGGGTTGACCCTGGTTAGTATTTGGATGGGAATCCACCAAGGAATTCATAGGGTCACTATGCAAAGGAAGGCAATGGCAAACCATCTCTGTTAGCCTCTTGCCTTGAAAGCCCTACAGAGTTGCCATAAGTTGGCTGTGACTTGACAGCACTTTAAGCGCACACAAATAGGGGGAAAGGCCCCTACTCCCCAGGCATCATGGTTCCTATTCAAATTGGGTCCTCGTGTGCCTGAGAACTGAGTTTGAGGGCAGAACTCGCAAGGCTCATCTGATCAAATAGTGTTGTTGAAGACCCAGGAGGACACAGTGATAATAGAACGTATATTTCGGCCCTCGGTCTGATAATATAAGATCGGCATCTGGATTCCAATTCAGCAGCTTCTTGTTGGCATTTCCCTTTGGAACTTTTCTGCTGAAGTGCTGAAATGTCTAGAGAGATGGAAATGAACCTCATGAGGTGATTGCTCAGTCATGCTAAGAACAAGATGTCAGAGGGATGGTTTGCAAAGATACCAATCCCTGTGGCTAGCATAACATCTGGACTGGCTCTTAACGATTTAAGATGGGCACACAAAGCAACTGCACTTGTACAATATCACTCCAGATTACGTTGTATTGCTATCACAGTGGAAGGAACCCCATGCAGCTATGATACGTGGTGAATATTACAGAGCTTGTGAGGAAATGAGAAGTGATCTCAGCACTGAGGCAAAGTTTATATCTTGAAATGCAGCTGGGGAAGCTTCCTTGGAATATTACTCAGACAACTTGGGTGTTTTTTTTAAAAAAATACTCTGCTTTCTAATCAGTAAACATGACTGAGTGCTACTCATAATGAGGCAGCTGTGCATCTACTCTGATAGTGTAAATATTTGAAGTGGGTCCCCATTCTCACAACCCGCATATTGTCTCCACCCTGCAGTGCATACCTCCAGATGAAGCCTGCACCTTTCTCAGTGCTGATATGATCCTAGCCATGATGCCAAATAAGAAAACCTTCACCAAACCCCTCGCTGTAGTAACTCTTAAAGGGAAGCCAGAAGGTAACAAATATATATGTTAACATAAGTACATTTCATTAAACAACATGCCACTTGAATTGCAAAAACGTGCCACCGAGTAAATAAATATATAGTTTCATATTTTAGTGGTGTTATTGTTTCTGGGCCACATGGCCCCGTAACTTCAAGCGCTAGCATTTGTTTGCTCTTTTATCTCTCTCAAATGTTTATGTAAATGTAGTTTGGATATGCACTGGGAAAGGAATGCACTTCTGATACTGTAGAACAATATGGGATTTGTAAATATTAAATAACCCTGCAGCTGCTTCCAGCACTCCATTATTGTTTAGGCACTGAAAGTTGTCTAATTTCCTTCTGTGTGTGTATGTGTGTGTGACTGTAAATATTATTTAGACTTCATAATTACAGTGGAATTTCCAACATATTGTAAATATTAAACTATGGTGTATTTATAAGTAACTAGCCTGATACCCGTGCTTCGCTACGGTATTTAAATTCTGTAAATCCAGTTATAATATCAATGATGTGACGTTTGAAATGTGACATTTGTTGTAGGAATACTAGTGGAGAAGATTGTAGTGTAAAAAATGAAGTGAGACATATGTACTTTTTTTCTCTCTACTGAAGGACCTCTCTGTAGACCACATTGGTGGTTCTGCCCTCATGTCCTAGGATCACCAAGCTGCTTGATGAGTTCACTCTGGAGCAGACAACATAGAACTGTCCATTTAAGAAGCAGTCATCTGTTAAGTCGATTCCTGCCACCTTCCACGAAAGTGATGGCCTCTCTACTTGTGTTCCTGGATTGTTTTGCTCATATGGAGACTGTGTTGTCCTGAGCACCTCAGGGTGACCTTGCTGGTACTTGGCCTGCGCAGCTCAATGCCCCACAGGAGTACTATGTGCAAATGTCTTTGCCACATTCCTAAGTTGCTTCCTGGCAGCTGCCTGTCCAGTGTAGGAGGGGGAAGGAGTATTAGAAGCCACTGTGGAGGTGGGGCTGGCAGGATCACTAAGGTGTTACTGCTGGGGTGCACTCCCTCATGGCTTTAAGCACCCTGCGACTGCTGCTGCCACTGACTGACAACCGCCTATTAGGTGTAGGAGGTTGGGGGAGTGTATTGGAAGCCATCAGAGAAGCTGGGCCAGTAGCATCACTATGGTGATCCTGCTGGGGTGGCATCCCTGATGGATTAAAGTACCCTGGCCCTGCTCCTACACCTGACAGACACCCGCCTGTCTGGTGTTGGGGGGGATTGTATTTAAAGACATCAGAGAGGCTGGGCCAGCAGAAGGGCTAAGGCAGTCCTGCTGAGCAAACCTCCCCGGCAGCTGTAAGCATCCCACCTCCTCTCCTACACCTGACATGCAGCTGTAGGGCCCCTTTCGGGCTGCTGCGAGCCAATTCTGATTCTCTTATCTGAATCGGCTTGCCGCCAAATTGCTGCCGAGATTCAGAGGCAATTCGGCCCCATTATATCCTATGGGCCATTGATGTCAATGGCAAAAACATAGGGTATATTCTGGGGGCTGAAGGGGAGGGGGTTTGAGGGAGAGGCTCCAAACCCGCAGGGTAGCTGCTGAAGCCTCTCCCCAAGATACCCACTAGGATTCAAGAACATTGGACCAGGGAGTCCAATTCTACAGGACCCCAAACATGTTGGCCCCATCCCCTCCATTGTTCTCTATGGTGGGAACAAGAATTACTTTTTTCCCACGGTGCTGTTAGTAGCTCTGGGAGGGAGGGGGTTTGAGGGAGAGGCTCCATATTTTCAGGGTAGCTTCAGGAGCCTCTCCCCACATAAACACCCATGTCCCAAAGCAATTGGACCAGTGGGCCCAATTCTATGGGCACCCAAACATGTCAACCTCATTACCTCCATTGTTTCCAATGGGTAAACCCAGCCAGCAGCACTTAAGGCAGGCAAGCAGGCAGCACCCAGCAGTCAGACTCTCCTAGAGAATCTCAGGGAAAGTGAACTGTATTGGGAGGTGCTTGTTTGCCATGAGAACAAGTGGCACACACCAGAACAATTGGCACTGTGGCAGTGCAAGCATGCCACAGTACCACACAGAAACCCCAAAAGACAGGGCCCCTTTCGGGCTGCTGCGAGCCAATTCTGATTCTCTTATCTGAATCGGCTTGCCGCCAAATTGCTGCCGAGATTCAGAGGCAATTCGGCCCCATTATATCCTATGGGCCATTGATGTCAATGGCAAAAACATAGGGTATATTCTGGGGGCTGAAGGGGAGGGGGTTTGAGGGAGAGGCTCCAAACCCGCAGGGTAGCTGCTGAAGCCTCTCCCCAAGATACCCACTAGGATTCAAGAACATTGGACCAGGGAGTCCAATTCTACAGGACCCCAAACATGTTGGCCCCATCCCCTCCATTGTTCTCTATGGTGGGAACAAGAATTACTTTTTTCCCACGGTGCTGTTAGTAGCTCTGGGAGGGAGGGGGTTTGAGGGAGAGGCTCCATATTTTCAGGGTAGCTTCAGGAGCCTCTCCCCACATAAACACCCATGTCCCAAAGCAATTGGACCAGTGGGCCCAATTCTATGGGCACCCAAACATGTCAACCTCATTACCTCCATTGTTTCCAATGGGTAAACCCAGCCAGCAGCACTTAAGGCAGGCAAGCAGGCAGCACCCAGCAGTCAGACTCTCCTAGAGAATCTCAGGGAAAGTGAACTGTATTGGGAGGTGCTTGTTTGCCATGAGAACAAGTGGCACACACCAGAACAATTGGCACTGTGGCAGTGCAAGCATGCCACAGTACCACACAGAAACCCCAAAAGACCGGGGGGGGGGCAGTTTCAGCCAATTGCTGAATGCATGTGCAGCCTGCAAGGTTGGTGGTGTTGCTTTGCACACCACCTTCCTTGCTTGGGAGGGGGGAGAGAGAGTCAACTCTACTCAACTCTATCCTGGCCTGACCTGCTACCTCCCTGGACTTCTGGTTGCACCATCAATTTACAAAGGGCCTGCCTTAAGTGTTGCTGGCTGGGTTTTCCCCATTGGAAACAATGGGGTAATGGGGGTAAGCTGTTTTGGGACATGGCGGTTTATGTGGGAAGAGGCTCCCGAAGCTACTCTGAAAATTTGGAGCCTCTCCCTCAAACCCCTTCCCTCCCAGAGCCACTAACAGCACCATGGGAAAAAAGTAATTCTTGTTCCCACCATAGAGAACATTGGAGGGGATGGGGGCAACCTGTTTGGGGTCCCGTAGAATTGGACCCCCTGGTCCAATGTTCTTGAATCTTGGTGGGTATCTTGGGGAGAGGCTCCAGCAGCTACCCTGTGAGTTTGGAGCCCTCAAACCCCCTCCCCTCCAGCCCCCAGAATATAACCTTTTTGCCATTGATGTCAATGGCCCATAGGATATAATGTGGCTGAAATTGATATTCGGCTGGCCAAAAGACTCCGGAGTCGGCTGGTACTGACAAAACTGACATGCAGGAGTCTTACTGTCATCCGAAATTGTTTCTGTCTGATTTTGCTGAATCCGAATCAGCCCAAAAAAATTTTGCACACCCCTAGGCAGCTGCTTGTAGGAGGGGGAGGGGGGAGGAGTATTAGAAGCTACTGTGGAGGCAGAGCCAGCAGGATCACTAAGGTGTTACTGCTGGGACAGGCTCCATTGTGGCTTTAAGCACCTGGAACCGCTGCTGCACCTGACAGACAACCGCCTGTTAGGTGTAGGAGGTGGGGGGAGTGTGTTGGAAGCCATCAGAGAGGCTGGGCCAGCAGCATTACTGCACCTCACAGGTGGTTGTTGGCCTGTAACTGTTTTTTTACCTCAGAACACTGAGCTCTGCAGCTGACTAATCAGAGAGTGGGGGGTGCAAGGAGGCAGCTGCCTGGCAGCCGCATAGAAATCAATGGGGGAGCACATTTTACCCCTTTTGACCCCCTTAGGGGGTCTAAAAATCCCTTCTTAGTGATCACCTACATCATGGTAGGAGTGCTCTCCCCGAATCTGGTGTTTCTAGGTACAGCGGTTTGGCCTGGGCGTTGATTTTATGGTGAGGGGACTTTCTTTTATATATATAGATAGAAGGGGAAAGCCACAGGGGAAATGGCTGCACCAGCCATTTAGATCATTAATATTAAGATCTGAGATTCTGCAACATTACATTAGCTTTCTTTCTGCATTTTATGTGGGTGTACAGACTCATTGTCTTTGCCCCATACAACCACAAAATTACATTTTAAAAAAATGATATCCCTTTGCTAAGTACCCAGCCAGGAGGTGAGGTTCCATCTCCACATTACAAAGTCCTTGTGTTTGTTGGGAGTTTTGTGTCTCCCCAGATGCAAACATGCTGTTTTCTATTTGCAGCCAAAGCAGGCAGGGAAAAGTAGTTTTAACCTCTCCTACTGTTTTCATATCTGCAGACTGCCCCATGGACCCATTATTGGTTCTGTTATAAAAATCACATTACTATAGTGGCTACACATAAGTTGCACAACGAACACAGTACTGGCTCTGTGGGGTGGTTTGATGTGCAAAACACATGGGAAGGGGAGACTAAATCTGCCTTTACATGCCTGCTTTGGTTGCAAATAGAAAAGAACCTGTTTGCATCTGTGAGGCACAAAACTCCCATGCACTAATTTGTGATGCAAAGTCTTTCTTTTGTTTCATAACAAACATGCAGACTTTGTAATGTGTAGAGGGAGGCTTGTAATGTGTAGAGGGAAGCACTGGAATTCTGCCTGCCAGGGTAGTCCAGGATCTACACTTAGTTCTACATTACCAAGGGGGTTTTGTACGTGGGCTTTTCAAACACAGACGATCCGCATGCTACATAGGAAACTGCTTCTAAAGCAGTGAGAGACTTTCAGATCCAGTTTGTGATACTGGATGGCGCTTCCCTATTCAGAAAATTTGAGGCATTTTTTTAAACACTTATTGAAATCATAACAATAGTAAAAATATCAGTAATATTAACATTTCAAGAAAAACAACAGCCAGATCAGCAAATTAGCAGCTAACAGGCCATAATAACAAAAGAA